ACCACATCTTTTGGTGGAATTAAAAAATCTCCATAATATAGGTTTATCATATAAAAAAATATTCGATAAATATACGTTTTTGAAATTAATACCGTATCAAATTTGCTTACCAAACAAAGTATTAGACCTAATTAAATAAAAAATAGTACAATTCAATATTTAATCCCCTCATAATACGTCTACCAAACGAGGCCTTCAAGTATTAAATTCAAAATATGAGGCTTACTCAAGTCATAATCCACCATGTATCACTTATACCCACACCTCTAATCCCCACTAACTAACCTAATGCGATCAACATTCTAGAATTTAGGAGTGTTGATAACCGAATGAGAGTTGATGTTGGCATAGGTTGTCTAGTTGGAAAGTTTGAATTGAATATGAAAAGTATTATCCTTAAGATGATAGTTGAATAGAATTCCTAGTATGTCAAATAAATGGGATATGTGCATGTTATCCCAATTAGTTAGTTTTGTTAATATCTTTATTGCTTTGTAACTCTATTTAAAGAGTAAAAATTATCAATGAAAGTATCAATCAATTATTCTTCCTTCAACGTTAGTTAGTTTAGGAGTTTCAAGGAAACTCAAATTCCTTACCTAAGGAGGCCAGGACCCCTTGAAGTGTTCTAAAAATCTATTATTCTCAATATAGGAAAGCTCCGCAAGAAGGATCCTGATTCTCTTCCTCTGCATCGGCCTATTACGCATGCAACAGCCTATTACGCACGCAAATTCTATGCAATGTAACAATAACCACTTTTTATTTAAAACCTTTTAAAAAATTTACTTTATCACCTTGTTATTTTCTATAATTATTATCTAACTTCTAAGTGGTGTGGATGAAAGAGAGGAAAGGATGGCGAAGGAAAATGAAAAAGAATGTGACGAGTTGTACATCCTTTGCATTGCAAGGTATCTCCCCCTGTGTATACATGTAACAATCAAATAAAGAGAGAGGTACGAAGAAGCTTAGCTTGCCTCTTCATTTCATAATTTTCTAGAATTTAACTACAAATATATTAATTTATCTAATAAAATTTCCAATTTAAAAAAATTAGTTAAACGTCTTAATGGACAGTTTTGCGAAATATCTAAATCGAACAGCGTGGAATGAAGATTTTGTGCCCCACACGGCCGTCACTAATAATCAGTGTGTCTAATGTAAATCAATGAAATTGGAGTGAAAATGCTATTAAATTATGCATAGTAAAATTGTATCATATCGGATTTATGTTGTACATAACACATACTTAACCATTTACTTAACATGTCTTTGAGTTCGTTAAGATTAAATCTAAATTCACTAACTTTCCATTAATATCACGTTGAATTTAGAAGATATAAAAAATTCCAATATTGGAACAATCTTTTTAATTTTTTTCACGTAACCCCGCGCGCTAATTTGGAACCCACTTTTTTGGCCATTCCAAAGTAAATTCCAGTGTGTACCCTATTTTTTTGGTTGGTCCACCTCAGAATATCTGTGACCGTTGCTAGTAGAAACCTTCAAACTAATAAAGGGTGGCTAACATAAATTGGGCCCTAAAGTAAGAAAATATTTTATAGAGATTTACGGTATGATTTATTTTTAAAATTTTAGTGGTTTAGGATTGATCATGATCAAACAATAAATTGGGTGCAATTGTAAAGTCAAGATGTTACACATGAATGAATTGAATATAGTCTTAAAGAAACAATAAGATAACTAAAGACAAGGACAAAAAATCAGAGCAAGACAATAAGAGTAGAGGAAAAAATAATGAGAAGAATTTGATGAAGATTACTATTTTTAAAAATATAAGTATTTACTTTTAGATTTTTTTAGAAGACTATTATATTTTAGAACTTTTTATATAGACTTGTGAAAAATATTATTACGTTTTAGGGTTTTCTATAAGACTTTAGATAGATTTATGAAATATATTTGACCTTTAACTTGGTCCATTCAAAAGGGTCTCAAAACATGAAACTAAACAGAGAGTTGAAAATTAAATTAGATCTCTAAATTTTTGAGACTCTAGGCGACTATTTTAATGGTTGTGACCCTAAGCTGGTCTTAATGTCCTCCTCCTATTTAAAAGATTGAAATATACGTCCATCTCACAACAATTGTAGTATTTGCTCATCCTTCACTGTCGAGTCTCCGTCCATTAAACCGAATAAGTGAGACAAATTTATTACTAGATGACGTGTAGTGATTAAAAGTAATATATTTGTTATTTAATATTTTATACATTTTTTTTCATTGACCGTTATAAAGTACTGTAATAGTAAATATGTTCAATATTACAATGAAATGTTACATAATTTTTCTTTTTTAGTAATTTAAGCATCTAATATATATTAAATATTATATATGTGTTATTTTATACCTATGTTTTTCCCCATGCAACTGTTCAATACTATAAGCCATAGGAACTATAAATATACGTAGATCATCTTACTAAGTACACATTTTTTAACAAACAGATCTATATATTTGTTTGGCTCTTTCATCTTTTGCCTGACCCGTACTTTTTAGAATACAATCTATTATTTTATTTCTATTTTTATGTTCTTTTTATTAATTTGCTTTGTATGTTCTTTATTAAAATTGTGGTATTACATGATTGATTATCAGTATACATTCATAATTCCTTTTTATATTGTCATTGAATTATTTTATCAAGTTCAAAAAAAATTATTTTACTATTTTTTAATTTTTTTATATGATTATTAACTTGTTTATGTATGCAACATTCACTTATTATTTTGTTGTGTTTTATTTTCTCTAGTAACAATTTTATTGAATTTGTTTTTTATATTAATTATGTGGATCCTTTATGAGAATGGACAATTTAATTAGTTGATATTTTTTGTGTTGAAATGAAAACAATATCAAATTTAAAAGAAGTAAAAAATGTATTTGATTTATTTTTATTTGTAGAAGATGGAGATATTTGTTTTTTTTTTTTTATCAAAGTGTTAACTTTTTGTTGTTCTTTAATAAATTTCTATGTGTAAGGGGGGCTACATTTTTGGAAGTAAATTTTAAATTTTATTTTGTTGACATAATTTTTCAAGAGTTTTATTGTTAAGTTAAATTATAATGAATTTTAATCTTAGATCTATATTTTTATTATTGAATTTTAAAATTTCGGCTCTACGGTTGATAATAAAATTCAAATAACAATAAGAATTTTATTATTGTTTTTAAATTTTTCGTTGGGCCTAAAGCCTGTGCTTATTCGGCTCCACCGTTGAGCCGGCCTCGAAACCAATGAAAGTCAAAGTCCAACAGAAATTCAAACTCATCTAACAGAAAATTCAGGGAAACTAGAGAAAGAAACGGAGCATCACTCGGTTCTGTTATACAACAGATCACTGATAGATATTGCGAAACACCACCTTCATTGTACAATACATGCCTGGTTCTCTCTCTCTCTCTCTCTCTAATGAGTTCTTGTGACCATGGTGTTTGAAGCAAACGTTAGGGTTCTATGAGCCATTACAGTTGGAGACTACCAAAATATTGATTTGATCTTCGAGAAAATTAAAGGAGGTTTAGCAGATTTGTTCGTGCCAGTTCGAATCCTATCAACCTGTTCTTACCATAAATGACAAAAGGTTCCACTGGCTCTGACAGCTTCTCGGTGGTGCTTATCGATACAAGTTGTTCCCCGTCGCCGGAAACGGCCAACATTCCTGAACTCTTGGTTTTCTCTCTCATCAAATTCCGTAAAAGGTTGGAAACTTTATGCACCTTTTTCGTCTTGGATGCATATATAATGAGAGATTGTGGGGTTGGTTGCTTTGGCTCATATGTTTGTGTTTGCTCAATAAATATTAGCTGTAGTAGTTCTTACGTGTTTAGCAAGCATACCATTGATTAGATAGCAAATCAAGCATTACATTATCATAAGTATCAACTTTCTTCATTAAGTGAATGAAAACATCACAGTACAAAGCATTTAGAAGGCCAAGCCATTGTTATTTATATTTGTGTAGCCTTTTACTCAAAGTGGAAAGCGAACAATTCCTTAGAGAGTTTACTATTATTAAAGGCATTTTCAAATAAAGGAATGGATTTGTACAGGTTATCGATCAGAAACTTACTCGCATCATGTAGATTAGATTCATTGCATGCTTATCAGCATTTCTTTAGCTACTAGACGAAACGTTTGTCGAATCAAAACGTTTCTTGTACGTGATGTTATTACATAATCATACTTTTACTTTCCGAAAAAAGAGAGAAAATATTACGTTTTCGATAAAAAGATAAAAATGATTTTTAAGGTGGCGTAGAAATATTAATATAGCAGATTTACATGCTTATCACTAATATTTTCCCACTTTATCCCTTTTCTTTTGGTTGCTTTTTCACATATTTTGCATCGTTTGAACTCGTGATCACTAACCTAATGAGTGATCTTATATGAATCACCAAAGGTGTAACTGCTCGTGAGCATAGAGATAACTTATCGAGACAGGAAACAGTTTGAGCATATAATTGAAAAACTAAGAGAGTGAAAGGGATTTAGAATTGTGTATGCAAAAGGGTTTTGACGTTTGTTTTACAAAAATATTAACTATTTTGGATTGTCTAGGAAAACCTTTTTCATTTGCTCCTTATGGTTAGTGGCGCAAATGATCAAAAGTCATGAAAAGATGTAACGTGAAATTGAGAAGATTTATCAGTAGATACCCAAAAAAAGAGTGAAATAAAAACTGTAAGAGATAGAGGGTATCATTTTCATAGGTAATAAGATCCACTGACTGAAAGTTTGGGTAGAAAAAGCAACCCAAATTCGTGGCGCATATTTTCCAGGCAAACTCTTCTTCTATTCCTTCCACAAGTATTGTCCGTATTTATTCCACCAATATTTTTTTTTCACAGCAGAGATGATTTTGAAAATGACCTTCCCTGTCGCTTGCACGATCCCTCCCCGCATTGCTATATATCAAGCTATTTCTCACAATAACTTATCAACCTTCTCTCCCTGCCAACTTCCTTCCTAAGCCACTCTCCAGTAGTCCAGCTCTTTCCTATCCTTTGTGAGTTTTTTTTTTTTTTATTTTTTTTTCTGAGGGCATTACTTCCTGTTTTTAGTTATATTGTAATGGAATTTTATCAGGATTTCCCGACTTATATACCTTAAGAAACACTGTTTTCAGACTTGGTTTTTTGTAATTATATATCATGTGTGCCTTTGGTTATGTGAATTGTTGCATGAGATCATGATCCTATTCCTCTAAGACCTTGATGTCTATGGAATATACTTCATTATTATTATTACGGCCCTTCCATTCTTTATGTTTTTCTTTGTGCAAGTAACTACCTACTATAATAACTCAGTGTTTTCACAGATTACTTTTGTCTCTAACTACTTGCCACTTGATTGTTCATTTGCAGGGAAAACCTTGATCTGCTTCCATGGACTCCCAAAACTTCACCTGTGGAGCTGCACCAAAGGTTGGGCCTTCTTTCATTAAAATGAACTTTATAACAAAATTATGAAGGACTCACCCTTGGACGACTGGTTGTTCACTTCTAACCTTTTAATCTAACAAAAAATGAAAAAAAAAAAGAAAAAATCTCTTCAACCACTGGGCCAACTTTATGAAATTGGGTTGCAGGTGCAGGGCCCACATAGTTCTGGCTATTTTCATTCGGAATATTATTTAGCCACATAGGCTTCTTTTGCTCTATATTCATTAAAGAGTATCCAGTTCCTTGGTTAATCAATTGTTTTTTCCATATCATATCACATACACACTATATTAAATTCATTTCAGTTCTGGACCTGAAATCGCAAAAAAAGAGAGAAAAAAGCTTTAGTTTTCAATAAGAGTCAAAGCTTGAAGAAGCAAAACGAGCCAAGAGTAGCAGTCTATTGCCTTTTTCAGGCCCCTTTGATATTATGTTAGTTAAGGGCTAGCACCTCTAGAGAGTATGGTCAGTCTGCTATCAAGGAAACTGAAAAAATCACATAAAATACTAGTGTGCTTGGTATAAGTCGAGACTTGTTGCTTGATTCTTTACTCATTCCAAACCCGGAAGAATTGTAGGAAATCATTCGAAAACACTTCTTTCCATTTCTTTTTACCGATAGCTGATAGGGCTAACTATGCATGAACTCACCAACGCAGAATTTGAATATATCATATGTACTAATTATTGGCTCTCATTAGACATCCTGTTCGTATCATTCGTACCTTGGAACCTTTGGAACAATCTGACCAAATCTTGGCATATGATGCATCTAAGGATTTATTATGACTGCATAGGACTGAGTTATGTTCGATTCAGTTATATCAGCTGCTTGCTCCGAATTTTACATATTTCAATTTACTCATTTAACAGGAAAGAGAGGAAAACTATGGCCTCAGAGAATTAGAATCTGTTAACAGCAATGTGAATGAACAGAAGGTGAAAAGTACTTTCAAGTTTGCAAACTGCATTAAGAGGAAGGAATCAGCAGGCTGGAGTTCAGCAATTCTGCTGCTAGGTTCGTATTATATCTCTCAATCATATCTTATTTGACATGCTATTTTAAATGTCTAAGTACAAGATTTATCCTCTCTCTTTTTTTGCTTCAGCAAATCAAGGCCTTGCAACACTAGCTTTTTTTGGGGTTGCCGTGAATTTGGTTCTGTTCTTAACCAGAGTTCTTGGTCAGGACAATGCTTCTGCAGCCAATAATGTCAGCAAATGGACTGGAACTGTTTATTTGTGCTCCTTGGTGGGGGCATTCCTCAGCGATTCATACTGGGGCCGTTACATGACCTGTGCAATATTTCAACTGATTTTTGTGCTGGTATTAGTCTTATCATAATTTATTGCCATTTTCTTCATCATTTCATGTTAAATCCTTGATTTTCTGAGCAAATTACATACTTTCAAGCAGGGATTGGTACTCTTATCTCTATCGTCGTGGCTTTTCTTGATCAAACCTGAGGGATGTGGTGATGGCAAACAAATTTGCATTCCCTCATCTTCAATTGGCAGTATCATATTTTACTTATCAATGTACTTGGTGGCCTTTGGCTACGGTGGGCACCAACCCACAATAGCCACCTTTGGAGCAGATCAATTTGATGAGACAAACCCGAAACAGAAGGATTCCAAGGCTGCTTTCTTCTGCTACTTTTACTTTGCACTCAATGTTGGTTCTCTGTTCTCCAATACCATTTTAGTCTACTATGAAAACACTGGTGAATGGATACTAGGATTTTGGGTGTCCACAGGTTCTGCTGTTCTAGCCTTATTAGCATTTCTGTTGGGGTCACGGGGTTATCGATATGTTAAACCTTGTGGCAACCCTCTACCCCGGGTAGCTCAGGTATTCGTTGCTGCAGCCCGGAAGTCGAATTTAGCTCTGGCCGATGGTAAAGACCTACATGAGATGGATGGATCAGAGTCTGCAATTAAAGGGAGTAGGAAGATTCTTCATAGTGATGAGTTTCAGTAAGTAAATCACATTTCCAAATGATTTCTTATGATAGTCGGGTATATATGTGTTATGTGTTACTAACTAGGAAAATTAACATTCTATTAGGTCAGATTTTTAGGTTCAAATAGTATTACTCATTAAAATATATTATTTTTACCGTAGACAAGGCTCATTCAAAAAGCCTAATCTCATTCATAGCCTGGATCATTCTAGAGGCTTTTCCTCCTCTTTTTTGCATTTGTTTTTATTTTTTTAATTTCCTTTTTGTTGTATTTTTTCAGAATGTTTCTTTTGATGGTCTTACTCATTATCAAACAACATAAAGAGAAGTTTGATACAATTTGTTGTGTTTCTTAATAATGATCAGGTGTTTAGATAAGGCAGCAATAGTGACAGCAGAAGATCAATGTGGCCCAATAAATCCCTGGAGGCTATGCACTGTCACTCAAATTGAAGAAGCCAAATGTATTATTAGAATGTTACCAATTTGGCTGTGCACTATCATATACTCTGTTGTTTTCACACAAATGGCTTCCCTCTTTGTTGAGCAAGGCGAAGTCATGAATTTAAACATTGGAAGTTTTCGCCTTCCAGCCGCTAGCATGTCTGCTTTTGATATCTGCAGTGTCCTCATTAGCACTGGAATTTACCGCCAAATCTTGGTGCCTCTGGCTGGCAAATTTAGTGGAAACCCAAAGGGTCTTACCGAGCTTCAACGCATGGGGGCCGGGCTTATTATTGGATTACTAGCCATGGTTGCAGCTGGTTTCACCGAACTTGAAAGGCTTAAATGGGTAATCCCTGGCAAACAGAATAGCTCTCTAAGCATATTTTGGCAAATTCCACAGTATGTACTTGTTGGTGCATCAGAGGTTTTCATGTATGTTGGTCAGCTGGAGTTCTTCAATGGGCAAGCACCAGATGGAATAAAAAGCTTTGGAAGTTCTCTTTGCATGGCTTCGATTTCTCTTGGCAATTATGTCAGTAGTATGTTGGTTAACATGGTAATGGGGATTACAGCCAGAGGCAACAGTCCTGGTTGGATCCCGGAGGACCTAAACGATGGCCACATGGACAGGTTTTACTTCCTTATCGCAGCCCTTACTGCAGTTGATTTTGTGGTATATGTGTTTTGTGCTAAGTGGTACAAATGCATAAACATCGAGGAAAGTCAAGTTGAAACTTACAAAGAAGGACAAACAGAAGAAGAAGTGCTTAGCAGACTCTAAGTGCATATATGCTCCAGTAGTCACAAAATTGTCCCACTCTTTAGGCTTTTATTTGGATAGAAACTTTTGATCTGCATTATCAAAATAAGGAAGCAAGACCCTCTAATTAGTGAGATCTGAAGAAAACTGCTGATGGTCATGATTCCTTCTTCTCTAGTTGTGATAGGACTTGCGGTTTAAGATTAGGAAAGTTGGTCTAGTTGGTAGATTTTTCTTCTCTCGTTATGTTTATAAGCTTTGAGAGATTGGCTCTTCATGGCTTACTCTTCTCTTTAACATCTGCTTGGTATAGTGTTTATTCACAAAATTTTCGTTTTGGATGTGAATATTTCATGAAATAGCGCCTTGAGATGAATTTGCATCCTGTGAAGTTGGTTGAATCTCAGAGGATGATGCTCAATTTTAACACAACCGCATGATGATAATCAAGTGTCAGATTCGGCCATGTCACCCTCGTCACAATTGACAAGTAATTCGGCCTAGGAATTTATGTAGGTGATGTCGCCAAATCCCGAAAGACATAGGCCTTTGTGTCAAAAAATCACCCTATGGAGCATTAGGACAAGTTTTTAGAGCCCCCCCCCCCCCCCCGCACACACAAAAAAAAAATCCTCCTACAAAATCCCCTAACAAACTCCCCAAGAAAAAGAATGATGTTGAACTTTGCTGACACTATCAACAGGAAAACACACACAATATCACACTCAATGTTGATGCTCTAATTTCTAGCCTCCACCAAGTGTGATGTCCCTTTTGAGAGTTTCATTACATCATTCCTACTCACTAATGGAACATATATGGAGTTTGAGGGAGAAAAAAGTGACATTTCATATGAACATTATTAATTAACTAGAATTTAGATATGTAATTGTGAAAGTTCATTATGTCACTTTGCCTTCAAATTATGTGAATTTGTTTTCACTTTGTCATACAAACCTTATAACATGTGAATATTTTCCTTCAAAATATAGTGGACATTTAATTTTGAGACAGTTTTTAAGTAGGTAACAAGATAATATAAAGAATACAATAGTACGAATGAAGTGAGATGAGAGTCATAGATGATACACATCGTAATTTGAGTTGAAGACTTTCTCTCAAACCTAAATAATGCCTTGTCCCCTTTTTAAATCATAAAGGATGTCCTCTTTATATACGAATAGGAAACAAGAGTTTTGGTTGAGTTTAAAAATTTGTTCAAGTCATAGCACTTGAGCCTTAAGCGAGCTTATCAGAGAGCACTGGCCATTGAAATTTGTTTTTCCAATCCCTGCTCAATTTCCCAAGTCTCGACAACACACAGAGAGTGCTAGAGAACAATAGCCTTGGTTTACTCAAAAAATCAAGGCTCTAAAATAACTCTTTAAGCACCAAAGGGTGTATCTAGAAAGTCTTTATCTAATAACTCATTTCAAAAATCGATTTCAAAAACTAAAACCCTAAATTTTCAAAATTATTTTAACACCAAAAACACATGAGTCATGAATGAGGTACGTACTCACAATCTAAATCCAATTTTAACACCTAAGTTAAATCAAATTAGCTATATAGGTCAACTTACTTTATCTAAGCTTTCTAGGTTCGAAAAAGTCTTCATACGTGTAGCAATATAGCTTGAGTTGCTTCACCATATCTTGCTTCAGTCTTCAATCTTCAATGACCTCTTGGTCATGGATTTAGTTGAGATACAAGATATATAGTGACCTCATAGAATTTATCAATTACAATTTTCTAATACTCTTAATTGTTATCTGAATGTAGAACACACGTAATCTCTCAAATTACATATTTCAAATCAACCAAAACATTTCAATTCTGAAAACACGACATGTTAACCATTGGATCATCAACATCTGATCTAGTTGATGTGTTGTGCATGTCAATTGTTTTGAAATTTATTGTGAATAATTTTTAATAACTTGCTATGAGCAATGTTACTTAAATTTAATTTATTGACCTAATCAACCATTAGTATTATTCGAAATTAGATGACCAAATGTAGCACATAGGTTTTAGTCTTTTTGTAATGCTTTGGTTGATATGATGGAAAAGTGGAAGAATGAAAAGTTCAAAGGATGGATAAAATATCATATTTCGTAAAGAAGAAAAATGGGAAGGATTGAAAAGTGGAAGAATTAACTTTCTTTCCATCTCACCAAAATCTATCCCTCAAAGTGGGGGAAAAAAGTGGATAAAAAGTTAGTTGTGTTGGTTTAAATGTATGTTATTTAGCTTTGTATCCTTAATATATGCATATATCCTATTTATCTATTACATATTATATACACATCAATTTCATAAATAGATGCAATGATAAGATATATACCTATATTTTTTTTCATCCTTTCACTTTTTCGTACACACGAAACAGAAAAAAAAATTAATAATTCTTACTTTCCATCTCTCATACCAACCACAAATGAGGGAAAAAAGGATTCCTCACATAAATGATAAAAAAATGTATCACTCATATTTTTCCATCATTCCATCTTTTTATCCACCCAACCAAACACAAGTGTCCATTTCTCTTTTGTGGGGTGAAGGCATAAAGATGACTTATACATAAGATGTTATTTGCACCCTGCTAAGTGGACCTGCCATGATCAAATAGCCATCAAAACTATCAATTGACAAAGATTTGTTGATAAGAGAAATGCCTCACGCAATTAAATACCATCTAACCCAAAAATATTAGCCACATACTTTTTGTTGTTGTAAAATAATTAAATTAATTGATCATAAAATAAATAACACAAAAGCTGAATGCGAGAAAATTTTGAAGAATGATGTTACTCCCTTTCTTTATGTTTTTTGGTCCTTTAAATTCATCCTTAGGGTTTCCTTATATAAGTAGAAAGGACAAATTTTCATAGCTGAAATTTCAGCTTCTCAATTGCCCTATTAAATACACTTATTATTCACTACTATTCTTAGGGTTTCCTTATATAAGTAGAAAGGACAAATTTTCATAGCTGAAATTTCAGCTTCTCAATTGCCCTATTAAATACACTTATTATTCACTACTATTCATGAATAGTAGTATGTATTATTCATTATTATTTGGCACTATACATCACTATTCAACCCTATGTGTAACTATTTGTGTATAGTTGATACTATTCATGCACAATAGTCATTCACAATACTTTGCATTTACAACAATCCTCCTTGGATGATTATTGAAATAATACCGGGGGTATGAATTCCTGTTGTGGTAAAACCGTTGGATCATATGCACTGCTTGTTAAAAACTTTATTAAGTAAAATCCAGTGGAAAAAAATTTAGCAAAAGAAAAAATATTATATGAATCCCCCTCTTGGATACATCGAGTCAAAATGATGATTGTTCAGCTCGATAAATCTATAAGATGCTACATTCTGATTTTGTTCACTAATTTTTTGATATATCCTTCTTGGAGTTGTGCGATACAAGCTCCATTATTCTCGTATAATATTGTTGAAATTCCTTTTACAAAAACATGGATAGGATATAGATCTTTTCGGCACAATTATACATGTGGGATTGTTAGACACAACCTAGAGGGTGGGTGAATAGGTTTATTAAAATTTTTGATTGAAACAAACACTAATTTAAACCTAACACGCCATAATTACCAATTAACAAATTAATTTATAAATTAAGTACTTGAACCCCTTTTCTCAACCCAAAAACCATGTCATGTGAATTGATGCAAAGATTTAGTAATTGATTAATTTACTCTCAAATTCACCGTGACCTCAATCTCTCACCCAAAGCCAATGATCACAAAATTCTTTTCAATGAATTGAAAGATAAACAATCATTCATTCAAAAACATAGTGCTAGTGTGTGCGATTGTTAGGATATATGAAAAATAAATAAAGAAAGAATACAAACAATTTGTTTACGCAGAACCACTCGTGTTCACCTAGCTTAATCGACTTAACTCAAAGTTGAATTACAAGTACTCAAGACTTATACCTCAACAAATATCATAGTTAGATGATCATTTCCACTGCAATTCTCTCCTCCGAATACTACCCACTGAAGTTATGAGTAGCTTCACTTGAATGCATACATCGCAATGGACCATTGAGGCTCTTCAAGTGATCTTCTAGGATGCACCTAAGATACTTGGAATGCATACTTCTCCATAATAAGTTTTGTTGATATCCAAGCCAGATATCCTTCTTCAATGTGTCAGGTTGAATAGAAGAATCAAGAATCATGGTTTTGGGGATTTAGGGTATTAGATCATGTTTTGTAATTGGATAATTTCGTGAAGCCCATTCTAAAGTCTCAACTATTTCCATGGTCACAATGCTATCAAGTTCAAGATCCGAAAAGTGACATTGAAGGGGGTAGATCAAGTGTTAAGGCTACATCATTCAACCTTCGTATGCACCTTCATGCTTAGGGCAAAGTCAATGACTTAGACACCTAAAATGAACCCTTAGTCTTAGGATGATTAGGATAAAAATGAAATTGGAAGTAAGCCGATTATTACTTCAAGGTGATTTCCAAAGAAAAGTTTTTCTAAACTAATTTTATGTTTTGAAAATATATTTTTTTGAGCAACACCCGTTAGTGTTCAAGAGGACAAGCTTTTGCATGGTTTTAGGCTTAAAAAACCTATAGGGACTGCCCTATGCTAGCTAGTCTTCATTAGAGCAGCCTCTTTATGACTTAGGATAAAAAGGGAAAAGAATACGAGAGATTTGCACATGGCTCGCTCTATGAGCCCACTTGAATGGTCTCCATGGTCATTCAAGCGGTGCTCATGGTCGTTTGAGCAGTCCTGACCCTTGGTTGGTTTGAGACATTATTTTTCACTCTAATGCCAACCGTCCTATGATCGCTCTCCCACCGATCGAGCGGTCGTTTGCGATTCTGAATTTTCTTATTTATTAAGATTATTCTTATTCTGGACTTATAAATAGGGAGATTCTTTCCCACATCTAGCTTAAACATTGAGAGTGTATTTTGAAGAGAGAAATTTATTTTTCAACCTTGAGAGCTTCCACCAACAATCTAGATCCCTAAGATCCAAAGACTACCACTAATGATTTTTTTTATCCTCACAATTTGGAGTAGAAGAGTTTGGTGAACAAAACCATTGGTGTGTGCATATCACGGATTGTTGGCGTACCCATCATCATTCGAGGCCTAGACAAACCGTGCAGTGAAGATGTCC